GTGTTTCTATGCCTTCATCAGACTGATCCAGATGCACCTTGTGCACGTTGTCACGGCACCGTTTTCGGCTGGGAAACTGGCCCAAATATTATTTGACCTTGTTGTGCGTGTATTCTTGGGAAAATATCCTCAAAGTTCGCCCTGATAAGATGTTATTTTCAATAGATCTAGGGTTCTGAGGGAGGACTAAAAATTGTGTTCCCAAGAATACATGTAGAATATATTTCAGTGATTTTTGGTGTACCCAGTTGTGCCCCAGCAGGTGAAATTGATTTTTTACAAGGTGCATCCAGTTGACATGACAATTTGGCAGGGATTCCCGATTCGGTCATGCACGGTGATGCGATCAAATTCCGTCTCAATTGCCGGTGGCCAAGTGGACGTCCACAAATTTCGTTTACAAGCTATCTTGGCAGGGAGTCAAACTGGAATTTTTCAAAAAAAAACCTCAGCCCAGAGCTCTGCGCTCAACAACTGTCACCTAGTAGTAGGATGCCAGATGTCTTCAAGTTCATCCTCAGGCCCTTTCCACCACCAGCTGGCCCACGCCTCCCCCACTATGATTTCCTAAAAAGGAAGTCACGCCCGGTGGCTGGATATTCAAGTATATGTTTTACTATTCTATATAACTATGATAGTGTAGTGGTAAGTGTCACTGGTGATGGTTCTTTTATGTAATACCATTATTGATTGATCCTGTGTTCAATCCTGAGGAGTGATGTCTTTTTTCCCTCATTTTTTGGGTCTTACTTTTCGAGGAGTTAGGGCAAGCGACTGCTTGCCCATAACTCTGGCCCACTTTGTGTCCCGCCTCGCTGGTTAGGGGGTTTAGGGTGGTTAGGGGTTTGAGTTAGTGGTTAGTGGTTAGAGGTTAGAGGTTATGGTTGGGGCAAGGTATATTGGTGACCAGTACTAGTAAATTGGTGACCAGTCTAGTAAAATGTTGTAACAATGCTAATAACTAGCTATCTCATCTTATTTGTAAGCATTGCCTTTTAAGGCAATGTCTGGGTGGCAAGGGTATTCCTAAAAAGGTATCGTGAAGAAACACTAACCCAAAATGAAAATTCCTAAAAAGGTATCATGAAGAAACACTAACCCAAAATGGAAATCATAGTGGGGGAGGCCAAGGGCTTCTCAACCTGGTGTGATGCGACAACGGCGAACCCACCGATGGCGGCGGCAGGCACACCGATGGCGGGCGGCAAGTGCACTGATGGCGTGCCACTACGAGTGCAACGTTGGGCACACTTTTTTGATGGCTGGGGATGGCGGCGACTGGCTCAAGCAATCTACTCATTCTTACTACTTAGTGGCACACACAAGCGGTGGAAAACTTCGGTAAATCTAAAACCTGAGGTGGCACTCATAAAACTTCAAGAAGTCCCTATTTGTATTATCCGCGGCTGGCGCGCGACGCGACAGTCGCCGTGCACGCGTGAACAATGGATGTTTTCACTTGCCTTATTTGGTTTTGGCAGCTCTGGCCATCATCGAGAGGAGGGGGGAGACCATGGGACGTTGTGGACAAACCTAGAAGTAATCTAATTTAAGTTCTAAGTTCAGTGCGAATTGAGAATGTCATATACAGTACAGGCCATCCGGCGCTGATGTGACTGTGCAACAGCCATGACCACAAACCAGCTTCCCGGATACAGCCACTGGCACCAGCTGCACAGATCAGGCCACGCCGAAACTACGGCAGAAGGAAGACAAAGGTCTTCACCTAGGCGAATAGGCTGAGGCGAGCAACACTCAGCCTAGTGACCTAGGCGCATACTGGACAAAGGTAGGCTCTGTTTGCCCAGGTCGCCCGCCAGTGGGCGCACCTTGTCTAGGGTCGTATACTAGGCCTTCCTAGACACAGATTTTTTACACTGCAACCACTAGACAAACATAGGTTCAACCTAGGTAAACCAGGTGCTACTTGGGCTATTCTATGTCTAGGTCGAGGTTGAATGCAGTGTACATGTATGTCAAGCCCCGGGGCTGGTGCTGCCGCGCGGGTGTTATTCAGACATGTGTCTTCTTGTTCACGATGAAAACAGGCTGGCGAGCCCGATGATCCCGAAGACGCCGTTCCGCATGCGGGGCATCTCGTTCTGCGGGAGTCGCAAGATAGTTCGGCTGGCAGGGAAACAAAAACTCACAAAGAGGATCGAGACGTATCCGACGAAGGGGATGATGCTGCTCAACATCGCATCGCGTCAGCTGCGCTCGGGTCCAGCCAGGAAAGAGTTCGAAAGACGCACCCCTGGACTTTTCCCACCACGTGTGCGGCCTCCAGCCATTCAAGCCCGTCGTACAGAGCCAAATCATCTACGTCGTTGTTGTCTCCCTTCGTCAGGAATTGCTGGGTGCTGTTTACGCCGGTCCGTCAATGAACGTCAATGCGGCGCGCAGAGCCACGTACAGCGGGCTGTCGTGCGTCTGCAGCACGCGGTGGACAATGGGGATCGCGTGTCCTGGGACCTGGTATACCGTGATATCCCCGTTCGCATACCGCTGCGGCGCATAGTTCGACAGAAGGAGTAGGTCGCCGCGGCGCACGCCTGGTTCCATGGACGCGCTTTCGACGCACTATGAGTCGAACAGTGCCAGTGGCCGGGCCAGGTGAGTACACACCTGAGCACGACGACGGCGGGGGACTTGCAGTTGGTTAGGAGTTCGAGAGCGGTGTGCGCCATGAGGACGGAGGAAAGCGATAGCGCGACGGCGAGCGCTTGCAGCAGAAACTGGCGTGGATGCGGTAAGTAAGTGGCAGCAGCTGCATGCCTAAGACGCACGCGGCGTATGCGGGTGGGCCACATATTTGTCTCAGAAAGATAGATCTGCGCACCCCAGATAAGTATGCGCTGCGCTCAAGTAACACGTAGGGACACGTCGCTGCCACCGCTCGCTGCAGATCCGTTCCGTGATCTAAGACTTCACGATCAGGCGAAATTGTGATCTCTTGGAATTGGAATGAGACGGAGCAATTTCTTCTCACTCACCGCCGGTCGGTTGCAGGATGGAGGGTGTAAGTTACATGCAGGGCACTGCAGGCCGGGGCCGCCGGGCGAGTTCCATCCGACTGTCGCCGGAATAGATTTGTCAGCTTCCAGCATCCCAACGAGCGAAAAGCGACTGATTCGTATGGCAATGGCATGCCATTTATGCGTCTGTGGCTCTCCTGCCTTATTTAAGACACCCGCAGTCATGGTGTACAGTACAGAAGCTGAATCACGTGACATCCGTTGGACTTGGCGCATCTTGGTACGATTTTTAGCGCAGGCAAACACCGGCGGCACATCACAGAAAACGAAAACATATATGTATACACCGGCTAGATGGCCGTGCAACTCATCGTGTGATGGCCGTCGTGACGCCGGTTAAAGGAGGCCGGTCACGAATACTAAAAAACGAAAAACATGTAAACAGGACCCCCGAAAATACCGTTCGAAGCGAGGTCCGGGTCCCGCCAAATTTGTTGGAATTTGGACCGCAAAGCCAGGTTCAGTCCCCGGGCCGAAAAAATTGGGTGCTTGGCCGTAGGCTGGTCCCAACAAAACCTTGGCCCTGGCGGTCAAACTTTATGTTGTGGTCTCTTGGAGGACCGGTGATAGTCCCTTGTGAGGTCAGATTCTGAAACCGCCTTGTCGAAGTTTTTGTCCGGATTTTTGCGCGCGGAGGGTCCAAAATTTCTGTCCGGATTTCGAAACTGACCCTCCAAAAATCGCAAAAATTTGTCCGGATTTCACTCTAACCCCAAAGAATGCTAAAAAAAATCGTTAAAAATCGTACAAAAATACAGGAGCCCCTAATCATCATCGCCGTCGTCTTCCTCTACATCTACCACGTTTATCTTCGCTCCGGACTTCTTCTGGACCATTGTAAGCACTGTAACCATTTTGATCAACACTTTTTTCTCCTGCAGCAGCTGTGTAAACAGCGCAGTCGTCTTCTTCGTCAGGTCTGCACTGTGTTCAGTAGGGTTGATGAAATTGGGGAGCCACACGAGGATTGGGCCTGATGAGAGATGGGCAAAGGTGGAGACTCCGAGAACAGCAGACAGATGGACGCAACAGAAAGAGCGACCACCGGAAGAGATCTGACCGATGTTTGGGCTTTGTGCCACCCAGTCAGGTGCAAGGTGCGAGAGAGGACAATGGGGACACAAACTTTCTAGGGGTTTCTCAACATGCTACCAAAGCAATTTGATCTTTGAGTATAGCACAATGAAAATATGTTTTGTGATGCCTGCCACTGCTAAAATCTGTCCGGATTAGTGTTTTAACCTGTCCAAAGGCTCCAACGCCTTGTCCGGATTTGTGTTTTGACGTCTCGTGCCCTAGGCCCAAATTTGTCCGGATTTTGAAACAAGATGGATGCAATTCTGCAAAATTTTGTCCGGATTCTGTTATTTGACCCTTTGGCGGGACTATCACCGGTCCTTCTCTTGGTGAAGTGGTTTGTCACGTCTTCCGTGATTTTTTTGAGGTCCCGTGGTCTTGCCTTGTTTATGTATTTTTTATTTGTATTGTGGTCTCTTAGTGCATCAGGACAGAAGCGAGGGGGGGTGCGGCTACTGAGGATGAGGACGAGGGGTATATGCAATTTATTTTCTACTTCTTAGAACCTATTTGGCGAATGAGCATCGCAAATTGAACATATATAGGGAGGGAAAAAAAATGGATTTCCAGAGGCCAGGAATAGATCATGCTCATCATCAATACGGGCAGGTCTGCGTGACAAGAACAGACAAGAACGCACAGAGGACGGTCACGGTCCTTGCATAGTAAGTACACAACCGAGTGTCATTCTTGCAAAGAGAACGATCAACGCAACAAACAGCCAAGGGTCCGTTTGCCGAACGGGCCGCTTTCCGGGAATTGCAGTTACCAGAACCTTGGCTTGGCCAAAGCCATGTTGGCCTGGCTTGTACGCACTTTGTAATTGTACTCGCACTGTTTGTACAGCAGAACGGGTTTTATTATATTATTATTTTTAATCAAAAAAAATGACCACCGCAGGGGTCGAACCTGCAACCTCCTGATTATCTATTCGTTTACGATCATCGTAGTCAGACGCGATGCCATTTCGCCAGGCGGCCGTTCAGCTTGAGGAGTCCGGTCGAACCTGCAATCTCCTGATTACCTATTCTTTTAGAAGCGGCATCGTAGTCAGACGCGATGCCATTTCGCCAGGCGGCCGTTCAGCTTGAGCAGTCCGTGTCGCACAGGTAAGTAGGTCATCGGGTCCGTAACGGAACATCTCAGACTGGTCCTCTAGATACAGACTGCCGATACATCATAGCGGGAAGCCACGCATTACAGCTGCTCTTCGCCCGTGCTTGCCAGTACAGTTTGAACTCATCGGTGCATAATTGTTTCAAGGAGCCGCATCCAGTACGAGTCTAGACGCAGGACACCATGAATCGCAGATATCGCCGTGAGAGAGACACGGTACCAGCTCGACAGGTTCGGTGCGAGTTGGATCAAGGCCCTTGATTCTTCCGTCAACCGCCATCGAGAAAGCCTTTCTGCCAGTGGCCCGGGGTGCTGAAATATGCCGAGTGGCACTCGGTCAAAAGCGCAGCCAGCTCTGCAGGACGTGCCTGCGCTCGCTGAGAAGCGGCTTCAAGTTGGGACGGCACGCTCTCAGGCTGGAATTGCGTGTACAGAAGGTGCATCTGGGCGGTCGCTGATACGTTCTGAACTGAGGTCAAAATTATAAGATAAATGAAATAGTAGGGCTGAACCTTTCTGAAATCCGCCTAGAAACGTCCGCGGAAAGGGCTTTGAGAGAACCGACAAATTACATCCGGAGTAGCGTTATCGCGCGGGTCCGAGTCATGCATCTGGAATCGCAGTAGATAGTAGACCTCGGCTTCGCGGAAGTTGGCGCTATGGAGAGGTGAGCTGGACAGTCTGTCTTCTGCAAAGAAACCCTACATAGCTAGCCCTACATACGCCTTTAGAAGATGTCGACGCGTTTCCGCCATGTAGAGAAAGTCTGTCTGCAGAACGAGGGATTCTGCAGGGTGATTGAGCATCCGATTCGCGTGCTCCAGTTCGTTAGGAACCGACAGGTTGAATGCACACTCTATATATCAGAGAGGCTAAAAATGTTTCCTTAAATAACTTAATTAAGCTGCGCCGAAAAGAGTTTCCGAAATAAGTTAAATGAGAGCTGCCGAAAAGTGTTCTGAAAAGAGTAATTTCGGTTCGGTTTTCGGCAGGTCCGGAAAATACTTTTTTCGGAAAGGGCCGAAAAACGTGCCGAAATTACCGTTTTAGGCATGTTTGGCAAAGCGTCCGAAATAAGATATTTCGGATCGGCCAAAAAGAGTGCCGAAAATAGTTATTTCGGCACGGGTATCAGACGTGCCGAAATAAATTATTTCAGTGTTATCCACTAGAAACAATGCTGGTTACTTTGTCTCAATCGAAACCTTGAAGTTATTGGCACCAAGAAAGGAGGATGTTCTATTAATTGAACCTATACATTTAGACAACCGGTTAAAGCATAATTGGATGGTCCTGCTTCCACTCCGTCAAGAAATTGTACAAGGCTGTCGCTCCAGTCGCGGGATCATCAACCCGTTGTAAAACATCAGCAACCTCAGCAACTTCTCCATACTTGCCAATTATTTCAATGGCAGTGTGCGCGTTCGAAAGCCAGGTGGATCCAATACCCAGAGCTGATTGGATGGAAGGCTTGTTGATTTTCTGCCGCAATATATGAACGACAAAAACTTGTGGCATTGGAGAAACGACATACCACTGGAGTCTTCACCTTATGGTAGTCTTTTGTGAAATCTACAGCAAATTGCCAACCCCAGACAGCCTCCGGGTTTGACAAAACACGACCTCGATTTGCGGTGAATGATTTGTAGCCTTCCCTGATTTGAAGCTTTTCACGGAGAAACTTTACAGCAGGGTCAGTATTGTCCTCCAGCTCAGTAAGAGAGGCTTCAGTAGACGTCGATGGTGCGGGGTCCGGAATAGCGGGTGGTTTTGAAGCCTCCACTTCAGTCTTGATTGTAGAGGTAGGAATGGACAGCTGAAAAGTGTGTAAGCATGCAAAGTTGTACTACCAATGTTGACTGGGATTACATTGTCTATGAAGAGCTTGAGTCGTCCCCCTTCAGAACATTCCAATGCCTCAGGGTTGAACGTCGCCGCCATTAAGTCCTCGCCATGATGGACACGTACGAAGGGGATCTTCCAGCCCTCCTCTTCAGGGTCAGCGAATGATATTCGGACGATACCTGAACCTGGAAAGTGTAAGATGAAGAAAACCCGAATACAGTAGCATGGATACTGTGTAATACCTGTCGACGGAATTTCAATCGCATTGTTGCTCTTCTGTAGGCCTAGGATGACTTCGCGGCCCAAAATCCGAACAGATTCCAGGGTACAATTGTTGCGGTCCAGAACAGGGACAAAAAAGATTAGGGTGTTTCACACATCCCAACTTGAGCCCCAACTCGGACCCCAACTCGAACCCCAACTCGGAGACCAAGTTGGGGCACAAATCAAGTTGGGGTCCAAGTTGGATGTCAAGTCGTGCCTAACCCCTCGACTTGACATCCAACTTGGACCCCAACTCGGTGCCCCAACTTGGTGCCCCAACTTCGCTTAACTTCGGTTGTTCGGTCCATTTGCCGCACATCAGATTATGTAATTCAGCCTCCCGCCGCCCTCCCGCCCGCCTGCCACCTCCCCACGGCCAAATGCATCGTGACAACCAACTTAAATTTTGAACTTTTGGAAAGCCATGCAAACTTGAGCCACAATGACTGGCTGCAAACCAAGAAATGACATCTTTTCCAATATCAAGGATTCAGGTACAATACATGTAAACAACATTGGACTTGGGAAATGAGAATAAACTTGCTTCATGACCCTGAAAAACCCAGAAATAGTGGAGTGAGTTGGGGCTTGAAGTTGGGAGATAAGCTGTAGGTGTTTCACACATCTGCCTCAACTTGAGCCCCAACTCCGGCCCCAACTCGGCGAAGTTGGGGTCAAGTTGGGGTCCGAGTTGGGGTCAAGTTGGGGTTCAAGTTGGGATGTGTGAAACACCCTATTGCTACCGTCTTCTGCACAGGGTCAAATCGGTGATCCTCAACGTACTCGATGTCACCAAAAGTAAATATAAATTCGCTGATTACAGCCGAAATTTGTGGAATGTTCTTAATCTGATAGCCTAGATAGGTTCATCTGGATATATTCTTGCCCTCCAGAATGAATTCGGCATCAAAAACTATGTGCACACTTCATGTAGATCAATTATTTTAAACCCTGTTCATTTTTGCTATGTGTGTCAGGAATCAAGGTTTATGGCTTTGTCTGTAAGCAAGCATGGAGTTTTCAGTTGTCAGGACCACACTTTGGGATATGCTGTACCTGATCCATGACTTGGAATCCCAGTAAAGTGAATGGATGCTCATAATCAACACATTTTCTGGGGCAAGTCATGCCTGCATGGAGCTTGCACAAGCTGCGGTCCAGTTAACCTTAAAAAATGGAACTGTGAACAACTCAACTTTGTGCAAAACATGACTGGAGCACTCCCTGGTAACTGTTCCATACATTCATGATGTTTTACATGACCAGTTGCCCTCTGAATCGCCTGTTCAACCAGTAATTCCGAAATATGACAGATGATACTGCGGTGCAATTTGCCACAAGAATCTGCGACATAATGACAAACTTAACTGTTCCAGAATCCTCCAGAGATGTCTGTTCATCTATTCCAAGGTACCTCACTTTGCTTTCAGGCTCCTGGTATTTTCTTTGTGAGGATTCTTTCAACTGATTGATAAAATGGCATGACTTTAACATGGGTTGCTGATCTTTTCTTGTCCCCAAAGAGTAATACTAGGGCAATTCCCCCCAAACAAGTTATGTGGTCTGCAGCTAATATCCATAAGTATGTGGTGGTAAGGTATGGTTGAGCCCAGTTCACGTGATCTGGCACTGTTGACCCATTTATATTTACTTTTGGTGACATCGAGTAAACTCGAACGTTGAGGAGCTGAGTGAATTTACATCTGTCTTCTCAGAAAAGGATGTACAGGCTTAAACTTACCTCCACATTTGAACCGACAGGCAGCGGATTCTGGACTGGAATAATTTCGGTCACTGCTGCCAGACCAATTGAGCGGATATTATCTTCCACGTCAAGAGGATCAGTATCACTAGTCTGCGCTGTCTCATGTTGAACAGATCCGAGGCGGTTCGATTTCGGCGGATGTAGCGCAATGACGGGAGGCTTTTTGGTTGTAAAACCATAAGTGGGATCGCGGAGATTGGTCTTAATCTCCGAGACAGAGGCCTTCGATGGGTGGAACTTTTTTCCAGGCCATTTGTGCTCCTGCCGCTTCACCAGCTTGATGAGCGCAGTTTTGTTTCCAGTTCTAGGTGTTGACTCTTTAATAGGTTCCGCAAAGAATTCTGTAGGGTCCTCACAGATCTGTATCAGTGTAGGGCCGCTCGCCTCTCGAAGACATTGAGGAAAGAAGGGAGGAGAAAGAGAAACTCAGGCTCCTGTGTCAGTTTCTTAAACCCCCCGTTCTATCCGATCAAAGCAACATAATTGACCCCCCGATCGGGCGAGAAAGGAATCACCGCTCGGCCACATTGCAAATGAACGATGAGGAAGAATGGGAATCTTACACTGTGGCAATCCCAGAACTCTCGATGGGACGGAACGGAAACTCACAGTGAAGGTTCTCCCAAGCGGCCGATCGGAGGGAGTGTGACTGCATGTGGGGATTCCTCACAGTGAACGATTGGGCGGAATGAGATGTTCCATTGTGAGGAATGGCCACATTTGTTTGGTCAAAAAATTCATCGTCCATTAGACGGCCCCGGGAGCCTCGCGCACATTTTAAAAAGGGGATAGCATAATGGTCGAATCACATTTGGAACTCTTGCACAGTAAAAGGGACACGCGCATAGTAGAACAGACAGCACAGAAAAGAAGGGCCGGAGGGGGGATTTTGCACTCCACCCGATCGTGTATACAATCCCTGCGAAGGGCATGGCCCAATAGGGGAACGTCAGTATAAATAGGCAAGGTTACCACGATCGGTACATCCGGCGGCGGCGCGCGCCAGGGGGGATCACGTGATGGGTAACCGCAAGTGACCGTGGAAACCTCCACGCCGTTAGTACATATTGCGATCCAGCAAAGTAACTCTATTAGTCCACCTTGTCCAATATTCGCTAACTGAGGGAGATACCCTATCTATAAATAGGAACAGTCACCTAGGTGATTGATGTATCGCTACCACCGGCCCGCCGACGCAAAGTCTCAGTTATCCTCTGAATCAAATACAATATTTCGTTCTCATGACCGGTTTACTTCTCTTGGCAAATTCAATTTATATATCCTCGAAAGCCATGCAACCCGGGTTTACACATCGCGGAGTGGTTTCGGGTCGATCGGCCATATGGACGCGAGGAAGATCTAGCATCGATTAGGAGCAGGGTCACAGCGACAATGAGTCGCTGCCACCAAATCCCACTCATTCTCTCGATGCGCGGGTTTCGATCTGGTATCAAATGGTCATTATGGTCCCTTCCATGCCCCATGCCAAAGCCCGCAGGTGGCAGACTCTGATGTATAACGTCACGCCCATTCGGCTCCCTTCGTATTTTGAGCGTCCAAAAATCTGAATACCTTACCTATAGTACCCGTCGGTCGAGTCTAAACCGTTGTCAGTACCGTGTGTTCCCTCCATAACTTGAGTCTGTGAATACGCCGAATTTGATCGCACAACACTGTCGGCGGCATCTTGGAGATTAATGATAGCGCACAGGCTGGTGCGTCACAAACCGTGCCGGAGATACACAAGATGTAGATGTTCGTGAAGACCCGATGGCTTGGCAGATACGGACTGCGTAAGCCCAAAGGCCGCCTGGCGAAATGGCATCGCGTCTGACTACGATGGAGATGACATATTGGATGTAATCAGGAGATTGCAGGTTCGACCCCTGCGGTGGTCATTGTCCTGATCTGTCTACAGTTTTTCCTTTTTTTTCGAAAAAGGACTGCTTGAACCTTTCTGTTATTCAGAATTCGATGATCATGTAAGTTGCTGCTAAGCCGAATCGTACGAGACGAGACCGGCATTACCGTGCAGTGCGCCGTGATAGCCGTCCACACGGCATTGCAGGTTCGGATCATTCCGGCAGCCTGCGGACTTGCCTCTTTTGTTTGCCCGGTTGGTCCCGCTCGCCGCGCGATCTATTTACGGGATACCAAGATACGGCTTCAAGCCAGCGTTCATTTTGCCTTGCCTAAACAGGCTCAGCTCTCAACAACCGAGTAGTCCTCGGATCATTCCGTCCAATATATTGGTTTACCTGAGTGCATTGCAAATGGCTTGTGGCAGGACAAGTGAACCTGTCTTGTTGATAAGCTTAATAAAAAAAGACGCGAAAGACGAAGTTGTAGTTTTACTGATGCGGTCGAGTCTAGACCTTTGTTCCCCGTTTAAACCCGAGTCCGTTTCAGCCCGATGCCGCGCGCACGAATACCCCAAAGTTGATCACACGGCGCAGCGGCATCTCGGAGATTGGTTTCGGGCTGGTGCGTCACAAACCGTGCCGGAGATGCACAAGATGTTCGTTACGACCCGATGACTTCCCAGATATGGACTGCGTAAATGCAAAGGCCGCCTGGCGAAATGGCATCGCGTCTGACTACGATAAGTTATTAGGATAAGAGTAATCAGGAGATTGCAGGTTCGACCCCTGCGGTGGTCATTACGCCTCCTTGTATTTTTTTTTCAAATAAAAACGGACTGCTTGAACCTTTCCGTTATTAGAATTTGATGATCATGATCATGTATATTGCTGCTAAGCCGAATCGTGTACCGGCATTGCCGTGCCGTACGCCGTGATAGCCGCGGCCGACTGCCGACTTGCCTCTTTTGTTTACCCGGTTGGTCCCGCTCGCCGCGTGATCTATGGGATACCGCCTGCGTTCTACCTATATCCACAAGCTCAGTCACTGCCACAGCTCATTTGTCATGTAGGATGTGTGTCATTTTGCCTTGCGTAAGCAGGCTCGGCTTACTCGGCCTCTCATAGTCCTCGGATCATTCCGAGCAGTCCGGGACTCTTTGGATACTATCCACGGTTTACCTGAGTGCATTGAATGGAGGGTCTCCAAAGTCTTTGGCAGTGTCTTTGGCATTGTCAAGACTGGCAATGTGACAAATTGCAAATGTCTTGGGGCAGGACAAGTGAACCTGTCTTGTTGACCTTAGTACTGTAAGTCTGTATAAAAAAAGACGCGAAAGACGAAGTTGTAGTTTTACTAATGTGGTCGAGTCTAGACCTTTGTTCCCTGCAAGTTCCCTGTTTAAACTTCGAGTCTGTTTCAGCCCGCTGCCGCGCGCACGAATACCCCAAAGTTGATCACACGGCGCAGCGGCATCTCGGATAGCGCACTTGTGCGTGTCATCTGATTCGACGCAAGAGCTAGAAGTCGACATTTGTCATGACCATAAATACGCGCTGCATTCACCTGTCAAGCCATTGCATCTTGATCCCAATGTGTGGTCTCATCGCTGCTTTCTTCCCGGACTCAATCGATCCCCCAACACGGGATGAGGTGGAGAGTAGGCTCGAACAGTCTCTCGAAACCATTAAATACCGCGGACCCGATTCGAGGGGCACATATGTGTCTCCTGATGCTCATGTCGGTGCGTCTGCCCGCGGACCGCATTCTGTGCGAACTTTAACCTGTGTGTCAGGCCTCGGACACGTCAGGCTTGCGATCATCGACCTGCCGACCGGGCAGCAGCCTCTCTCTGACGAGGAAGGGCTGATCCACTGCGTCGTCACTGGGGAAATCTACGACCACGAACGCATCCGCGCAGAAATGCAGAGCCAGGGATATTTGTTCGCGTCCTTGTCCGACTCGGAGCTGGTCGTGCAACTGTGCGCGCCTTCACGGCATCTTGTTCACCTGATTGAATTGCTACTCAAGGTACAAGCGCGACGGGTTCAACCTCGTGCAGCATCTGCGCGGCGAATTCGCGTTTGTCCTGTACGATCTCAAGCGGCGCCTTTTGTTCGTTGCGCGGGACAGATTCGGCATCAAGCCGCTCTACTACACCGTCCACAACGGATGCATCATGTTTGCGAGCGAAATGAAGGCCTTCATGAGCCTCGGGTGGCACGCCGAATGGGACATCGACAGCATCGTGCACAATGGTGACTTTGGCGACGAACGCACCGTCTTCCGCGGGGTTCAAAAGGCGCGTTCACTCCGTGGCGTTGCGTCGGACGCCGCTGACACTTGCGCAGCTGCCTGCTGGCTACCTCGCCGTCTGTCGTGCGTCCGGCCACATGCAGACGCAGGCATACTGGGACATCACCTATCCCGCCGCGACAGCCCCGCCGGCAGAGACGATCGCGTCGATGACGCTGCGGGTCCGCGAGCTGCTCGTGGAGGCCGTGCGCCTCCGTCTGCGCGCGGACGTGCCGCTCGCAGTGTACCTCAGCGGCGGAATCGACAGCTCCTGCGTCGCGGGCATCGCGACGCACCTCCTGCGCGAGAAGGACCCCAGTGCCAGGGTGACGGCGTTTACAATGGCTTATATCGGTATGAAGACGGGAAATAATTAATGTGATGACGCGAGGGCTAACGCATCCATCGCGCACAGAAGACCCAGCTACGGACGAGTCGCCGCTTGCGGAGCGGACGGCGGCGCACATCAACGCCGACCTGCGCAGGGTCGACGCAACAGAAGCGCGGTTGGTGGACGTGTTCGAAGAGTCCGTTTGGCACGCGGAGCAGCTCTCCACGTCGTTCCACGGTGCCGGGAAGCTGCTCTTGGCGAAGGCAGTCCGCGATGCTGGGTTCAAGGTTGTTGAGCGGGCACTGCTTATCTGCATGCGCGCTCGTTGCTCACTGGCGGCCGTGCACGCAGGTCGTCTTGTCAGGCGAGGGCTCCGACGAGATATTCGGCGGCTACCCGTGGTTCCCGCTCGATTTCCTGCAGAGCGCGGACCCGGCCGGCGCGGCCCTCGGCATCCCGCTCCCGTCCGAGGCGGAGCGGCGCGTCATGGCAGCGGAGTACCATGCGGCGACCCGGATGCCCTTCCGGCCGCACAGCGCCATCAAATCAAACGGGCCGCGGCCGTTGATAAGCACGGGCTCGCATCTTGCCGTGCATAATGGGCTCCTCGGTTCCACTGCGTTCAACCCCGAGGTGGTAGCGCGCACAGGTGTGCCAGACACGGCTCGGTGTATCGAGGAAGGTATCGACGCGCGCGTGCGTGAACACTCTGTGACCGGGCACTGGCACCCTCTAAACGTATCCATGGTGCGTATCAGCCTGCTACTGCTCCCGGACATACCACTCTTTTCTGACTCAAGTACACAGTACACCTCAGCAAAGACCGTACTGGGCAAGTCCATTCTGAACATTGTGGGAGATCGATCCGACATGACGCACTCCGTTGAGAGTCGGCCTGCCTTCCTCGACCACCACCTCGTCGACTACGTGACCACCCTGCCGCCGTACGCCGTCCATCCACCAGTCGCATTCCACTCATCGCAGCCGTCCGCAGATCACTGAAAATCATGCCCATCGCCGGCATCGCAGGCGCCCCGCCCGGCAAATGGCAGATGGTCGAAAAGTGGATCTTGCGGCAGGCAGTCAAGCCGTTCATCACAGAAGAAGTATACATGCGCAAGAAGGTTGCGTTCAACCCGCCGCCCGCTGGCCCGCCGCCGCCTGGCGCCTCGCAGACGCTGCTGCCGCTGCAAACGCATCTCAAAGCGCGCATCACGCAGGCGAGCGTCGCGCGGCTCGGGTTCGTCAGCTGGCCGTACATCGAAGAGCAGCTTTCTGCGTATCTGGCGTCCCCCACGTTCTTGCCCAATGGCGGCATCGACGGTAGGGCCAAGCTCTTGTTGAACGTCCTCAGTCATATTGTGCTGCAGGAGCGGTTCGATGTACCATCGTACAAGGTGTAAATTTAGTGTTTCAGGGCTGTCCAATTTGTTGTTCAAATCATTTCAGGATAAGTTAGGATGATATATATTATATCAGAGCGACATCAGTAGTCATGATCAAGCATGGTCTAGCCGCCGTAAAGACCAGTCTCCCACTCTGGTTCAACCTTCTGGTCTTGCGTCGCCATCCACTGACTATCTACTTTGAATGAAATGGGACAGTATAGGATATAGAGCTCAACACATATCCAAGATGAAGACAGATAATTCGCTCTTGTGTATGCAAACTCTACTTTCAGCAGTTGAGCCAGGCGGGAAAAAGTCATGCCTTTTTCCCAGTCGTTTTTTTTCAGCCACGTCAAAGCGCAGAGTAGAGCATAATGAATGATCAAATGCGTCGCAAGCAGTTGCAAGACGATTGCAACATGCCGAGATCGGCCGGGGTAATCGATCATTGTTGATGCAAGTTTCTGCAGTGGGCAGTAGAATCAAGGAATGCCGAGCTCGGCACAAAGACGTGACGGAGTGAACAGGTATTGGCACCTCCACAAACAGTCAGGATTATCTTGCAATGCTCAAGCGTCGTGTCCAATTCCACTTCAACTTGAATGCGGCAACATTATCTTGCATGTACGAACAAAACCCATCCGTGGCCATCGTATAGCCGGTCCACCAGCACCCCAGCCTGGGCTTCCGTGAAGGTATGTAAACTCACTTCCTCCACTTAACATGATTCGGACCCGTCTGCTGAATCCACTGCGCAGTAGGAGCGACGAATGCTACGGTGAAGGTTACTACGGCTCAAGGACTGTCGCATTTGCCCTGAACTGGTGCCTGGTCTTCGTCACCGTCAAGTCCTCACAAGCAGAGCATTCACCAGTGGAGAAATTGTTGGTTAAGTAGGTTATGCTTTCCATGGGAATGGTGAGTCACGGGTGTCCCAAAGAGAGACTAGCGCAAGGCCGCGTGGGCTGGGGAATGATTCAGCGACAAAACGCGGCCCCAGTTCGCTTCTGTGTTTCACTCGACAAAAATATTTGCAGAGTTGTTGGACAGGTGCCCGTCAGAGTCGGTCAGACTGTTGCGGGTCACCGACGGCACTAGAAGCTCTTTCGGACGTTGAAACAGTGCCGGGTCAGCCGCCTCTCCTTCACGAGTATAAATCAGCACCCGATCTGTAATGCACATGGCGAATGGATTTTCAGCACATATCGCCATTTCGCCGGGTTATCGCCATTTTCGCCAGGTTATCGCCAAGGGGGTACTGTTTTTAATTTTTTGGAACCCATGCCGGTTTTTCTTTTTAAGCATTTTTCGACCAACCAACCAACCACGTGACGTCTATATATGGTAATAATTCACGTGCCTCTGCCGTTCTCGATGCTCGCATCTCTCTATGTGTCTAGAGATGTTGAAATGCAGCATTTTGAAGCTTGAGGTAGCTCAGGAGTGACATTACAGCTCTTTGCGGAACATAGGGCGCGGGCTGATTTTTTTCTGTTTTTGGACATATTTGCTAATCAAACACCCTTTCACCTATATCTCAGTCAATTTTTATCCAAACGCCTTCGGACCGGGTGCGATCAATTTGTACGGTTGATTTACACACCCGACAACCCAAGATATAATTTATTCCAAGATGTTTATGGGCCTGTTTGAATAAACACTGATTTACACTGTTCCCCCATTTGCAACATGGGGAACTATTTTGGGGGCACAGGATCTTGTCAGTAGGCTCCGATGGGTGTCCAATCAGCCCCAAACTGGTTTATATGCATATTTACGCGCGGAG